GGCGACGATGACGATTGATATGGCGGCGATGACGACGATGACGATGATTGATGTATATGGTGACGACGACGACGATGGCGACGATGGCGACGATGGCGATGATTGACGATATGGCGACGATTTATGATGATGATGATTGATGCATTATTGCGACGATGGCGATGACGATGATGACGATGACGACGATGACGACGATCGATATATATGGCGATGATGATGTCATTGATGACGATCATCGACGATCCATGTTAACGGCGGCGGCGATGATGATTTAATTGACGTTCATCCGGTGGCGATAACTGTCATTGTTGATGATGATGATGATGACGATGCGATTAACCATCCATTTGTAATCTTTATCGATATCTGTTTCATTTCCAGAACTTACAGTAAGTATTGTAATGTTAACAATTTTGGAATATAATTGTGATTGTTGTGTATAGGAAATATAACAAAATATAATTAATATATCACTGTAGCCATTTGAATGAAATGGATGTAAGTCAATACTTTGTGAATTTAGTTATCTATGTAAGTCTTCCTGTCAAATATACAAACTCATCTCAGCAACACAGACTTGATAAGTATTTAATACAAATTCTACTCTTTAAACATTTGTTTGAGAAAAGATAAGAGTTAAGTAGATATTTTCAATACCTTAGTTGTAGCAGAATCAAAACACTGTATATCTCAGCGCTAACATTCTAACAAAATAAACTGCTGATAAGAATAACCTCACTTGCCAAGTTTATTTGCTGGCAAGTTTAGGATCACACTTTATCCCAATTTATTCCGGGTCTCAAGCCAGTGCAGAATTCCTGTTGTTACTCAACCTGTCAGCATTGATAAGTCTCATGTATCTTATTCTCAACAAATCACACATGGGCTTTAGTAATGTTCGCTGAGTGAGTGAGTTTAGTTTTGTGCCGCATTCAGCAATATTCCAGCTACATGACTGCAGTCTGTAAATAATCGAGTCTGGACCAGACAACCCAGTGATTCAACAGCATGAGCATCGATCTACACAATTGGGTACCGATGACATGTGTCAACCAAGTCGGCAAGCCTGACCACCTGATCTTTAGTCACCTCTTACGACAAGCATGGGTTACTGAAGGTCAATTCTAACCCAGATCTTCACGGGTCTAATATGAGTTGAAGTGCCTTTTTTTGGCAGATATTATGATATTGTTTCTGGACAAGGTCTTTGATTAATTATTAGTTTCATGATGCAGTATCAGTTAGTGGTGGTCCGATTAATTGAAATAATCGAAGATTGGTCGCAAAGACTAAACGACCAAGCAATCGATCATGTTTTCTCATAATCGAGCACAAACAATTTTGGAACACTTGTTTGCAATAACAATATTTATCTCAAGGGTGGCTTTGTCTGTTACTTTTTATAAGCACTACAGACCGCCTCCGTGGTGTAGTGGTTAGAGCATCCGCCCGGAGAGCGGAAGGTCGCGGGTTCGATCCCCGACCGCGTCATACCAAAAGACATTAAAATATGGTACATGTACTTGTTGGTCCCTGCCTGGCACTCGGCATTAATGGGTACAACAAGGACTGGTCGGCTTGGAGTCAGTATAATGTGTCTGAGTGGGGTATTCATACTTCACTGTGGCATGGTATCTCAGTGAGCTAGCACTATAACACCAGCTTAAGTCTGGGCTAGTACAAGCAGCCGCACATACACATACACACGCATGCACGTCGTCATGTGAACGAAATATTCTCAAGCATGATGGTAAACCCAATTTCACCTCAGCTCATAAGTTCTACAAGCTCATTCCTTGTCATGACTGAAGTGATCTTAAAGACTCCAGAGGAAATTCATGTTCCTTTAAAGATGTGAAATTTGTAAATGAATTTTGTGCTATTTGAAAAAAACCCCGGAAAGAACTGCATGTTTTGTTTGTGCATTAACAAACAAAACCAGGAGAATTTAATAAATGACGCTAACCAATTATTTTCGATGATTGATCGGTTGTAATTAACCAATCATCAATTCTGAGATTTTAAACAATTCCCAACGCTAGTATCAGTATTATTAACCTCATTGCAACTGATTTGTCCCATTAGATGTTCGTTTTTTAAGAAATAAACCTGTTGAAATAGTTATGAAAGTTATTAGATAGGGGACTAAAAGGGCTTCAGGCACTGATTGAAATAGGCTCGCAGAAGTTTAAATCATAATGTCTAGATTATATAGACAAAATGAACAAGTTGTCCAAATAATGCACTGGCATTCTCAGCACTGCCAGGGCGGTGGGGTAGCCTTGTGGTAAAAGCGTTGGCTCGTCACACTGAACACTTGGGTTTGATTCCAACAGGGGTACAATGTGTGACGCCCATTTCTGGTGTCCCCCGCCGTGATATTGCTGGAATATTGCTAAAAGCGGCGTAAAATAGTACTCACTAAACACTGTCTGCTGATCTAGACTTGCCTTTTGATAGAATTCATCATGGGCTCGTTGTGAATAGATTCCAACGAGACTGTCTTCGACTAGTCTGTCTCACAGTCCCTGAACCATATTATTTTTCCTTACACCGAGCCCTTTCTGCAATGTTAAAGCCCTGAATGGAGCGCATCTATATTTCTGAGATTTCAGGTTCTGAATCTCCCATCTCACTGGGGCTCCTTTCCAATTTAAAAGGAATGATCTTTTACTCTCAGTATTATATGTACTCACAGACTAAGTGTTAGTCTAATCCTAATTTTGTCATTTGTCAAAGTTTAAGTCATTCTGTTGTCTAATAAATTATTAACTGTTAAATTTTGTCTTTAAAGAGTGATTAAGTGAGTTTAGTTTCATGAAGCTTTTAGCAATATTCCAGCAATATCACTGCGAGGAGCACCAGAAATGGGCTTCACACACTGTACCCATGTGGGGAATCAAAACCTGGTCTTTGGTGTGACGAGTGAACATGGCTACCCCTCTGCCCACTGCCCACTGTGTTTAAAGAGATTCTTAAAATATTTTGTTCCAATCAAAGACTGCCCGCTTATCTAGACTTGCTGATTGCAAAGAAACCAGAATGAAGTGTTTTTCTGCCAGTCACCCTTGAGCCAGGCCGGCTCCTCAGTTCCAGGCTTGACATATTAATTTCAATGGGTATGAGGTTATTCCAGGGGTTAGAGGTTACTCCTTGGGTTAGAGGGTATATAAGCTGTGAAAGTTTTATCATAGATAAGTCTCCTTGATGCCATATGGTGACGAGGCAATTAGACAGGAGTGCTTGTGTTGGGAAAGATACGATGTGTGGGTCCGTGTCACAGTCAGCTCTTGCAGTATACCATGTTTGGTTCAGAGGTGGTAATTAGGTGACTGTCGATGACAGGGGTTTGTGTGGCATGTGTTCAAAGCCATGAAGCCAACATGAAGGTGATAAGATGTAAAAAAAAAAAGCAAATAATATTCTTCCACTTGAATATCATGGCAGGGGACACCAGAAATAGGCTTCACACGTTGTACCCATGTGGGGAATCAAACCCAGGCCTTCGGTGAGACGAGTGAATGCTTCAACCACTATAATCTGTTTGCCTGTGTTTGCAGTAAAAATGTACCGGTGAATTTCACTTGAAACAAATATGTAAATGGAATAAAGTGAAATTAAGATTGCGAATCCCCATAATTCTAGCTTGCCAATTGAAAATTTAAATCTTAGATTTTTATTCAACTTAGGAAAAAAGTTGTTTTACAAACGGTCATAGTTTCAAATTGCTTATATTGGTTTGTATTACAAGGGGGTAAGCGCAGTAGTTGGAACAGTGAAACAAATGCACATGCAGTACATGATGAGCGTTAACTTAGACTACCCTTTATTTGATTTACTTTTTTGTTAAAAGTGAAATTCATAGGTACGTTTTCACCACAAACAGACTATAGGCTACCCCACCGCCCCTGTAGGATTCAGATATCGGAATTCAAACCCAGGCCTTTGGTGAGACGAGTGAATGCTTTAACCACTAGGCTACCCCACCGCCCCTGTAGGATTAAGATACGGGAATTCCTGTCTGAAGGTGGCCAAATCCATGGGATACAGAAAGTGTTGTCCACATTTTACATGTGCTTGAAACCCTTTAGATGATGGGCAGTAATAGTTTGTGAGAGATATTGAGCTGAGTCAGTATATATTTACTGACTTGAACCATTCAATAGGACTTGATGGGACTAGATATTAAAGTTAAGGAGTGTCTTTATGTCAGAGATTAGCGTCATAAACAATAAAATAATATGTTTTATGTTCTGACATTTTTACCACTCTTGCAGTGTACATCGCTGTTGGTTTGGGATTTATGGAGTTCTGCATGTTTTAGTTTTATTGGTCTGCATTTTATGACTATAAGTTCAAGGAAATGATTGGAAGGAAGTCGTCTCAATTACTATTGGATCACTGGACTATTTTTAATGCCGAAATTTTAGTCTTTGATCCATAAAATTCTTATCAGGCTAATATTGCATCTATTATTATAGCAGCCTTGAAGAGTATTACGTCAAAATAGTTTCTTGACAGAGAAGTACTTTATGTTTAATTGCAAAGTATAACAGCACAAAATAAAATAATATGGTTACAAATAACATCAGCGAAACTTAAATAGAAAATCCATCAATATTTCATTTCAACAAACTTTCACTGAATGGTGTTTCCTTAAAAGGTTATATTAACTGAATAGGCATCATTAGAGGCAATTTTATAATCAAATTGCTTTTATGGTACAATTTACTGGCAGAAATCACATCATTTATTGGAATAATGATAAAACAGCCTTCCTTGAAAATTGAAATGGACACTCGTTAAAATGATGTCAATAACGTGCATCACTACTGTAAACACTCTCCGATCGGTCAATTATTCATCAAGTGAGGGGCTCTGTTAGGAGCTGGAGAGTAATTCATCAAGTTAATGTCTTTAAGCTTTCATTCTCCTTGGGTTTTTGTAATCCATTTGTACAATCTCCTTCCAGACTAACATCTATTTCATGTCATTTTCAGATATACATGCGTAAACTGTAGGAGAGAATGACCCTTACAGGATTGCCAGATTGAGTGGCCAGTTGAGGGTAAGTACTTTGTATATCTCTGTCCAGCAGTTTCCTAGAGGAATGGTATGATTGATTTCAGAGTTATTTTATTTAAAAAAAAAGGGAGGGAGTCATTGAATCTGTCAGCTTTGATAATAGAAATTAACAGGAAAATTATGAACTTGTTATGTTATAAACTTTAAGGCATGTTAAGCATAAGTGAAGGCTTGGGATTTCAGTGATGTTGTTCCTTGATAACACATCATGATGTCTTGTCCGTGACACGCTCAAACAACCTGTGCCTATCTCCCTGTGGGGATTCTAGCTTATGATAGGGCCCCAACAACCTGTGCTTGGCTCCCTGTTGGGATTCTATGGTATGATAGGTCTCCAGCAATCTGGGCTTTTCTGCATGTGTTCATTTTATGACCCAGCAAGTCGCCATCGACCTGTGCTTGTCTCTGTGTTGGGATGGTATGTTATGATAGGTCTCAAACAACCTGTGCTTGTCTCCCTGAGGGGATTCTATGTTGGGATAGATCCCCAGCAACCTATGCTTGTCCCCTTGTGGGGATTCAAGCTTATGCTAGGTCCAAAACAACCTGTGTTTGTCTCCCTGTGGGTATTATAGCTTACAATAGGTCTCCAGCAACCTGTGCATGTCTCCCTGTGGGTATTATAGCTTACAATAGGTCTCCAGCAACCCACGCTTGTCTCCCTGTGGGTATTATAGCTTACAATAGGTCTCCAGCAACCTGTGCATGTCTCCCTGTGGGTATTATAGCTTACAATAGGTCTCCAGCAACCCACGCTTGTCTCCCTGTGGGTATTCTAGCTTACAATAGGTCTCCAGCAACCTGTGCTTGTCTCCCTGTGGGTATTATAGCTTACAATAGGTCTCCAGCAACCCACGCTTGTCTCCCTGTGGGTATTCTAGCTTACAATAGGTCTCCAGCAACCCATGCTTGTCTCCCTGTGGGTATTATAGCTTACAATAGGTCTCCAGCAACCTGTGCATGTCTCCCTGTGGGTATTATAGCTTACAATAGGTCTCCAGCAACCTGTGCATGTCTCCCTGTGGGGATTCTAGCTTACAATAGGCCTCCAGCAACCTGTGCATGTCTCCCTGTGGGTATTCTAGCTTACAATAGGTCTCCAGCAACCCATGCTTGTCTCCCTGTGGGTATTATAGCTTACAATAGGTCTCCAGCAACCTGTGCATGTCTCCCTGTGGGTATTATAGCTTACAATAGGTCTCCAGCAACCTGTGCATGTCTCCCTGTGGGTATTCTAGCTTACAATAGGTCTCCAGCAACCTGTGCATGTCTCCCTGTGGGGATTCTAGCTTACAATAGGTCTCCAGCAACCTGAGCTTGTCTCCATGTGGGTATTATAGCTTACAATAGGTCTCCAGCAACCTGTGCATGTCTCCCTGTGGGGATTCTAGCTTACAATAGGTCTCCAGCAACCTGTGCTTGTCTCCTTGTGGGTATTATAGCTTACAATAGGTCTCCAGCAACCTGTGCATGTCTCCCTGTGGGTATTATAGCTTACAATAGGTTTGCTTCCAACTTGCTAGCTTCCCTGTTCAAGTGCCAGGCTATTGTCTTCACAAGCTACCATTTTTAACAATCTCACATGCCTCTGACACATATGAGTTCCACTGCAAGTTGAACGGTTTCAAATGTGTTTTTCAAACAAAGGACTACAACTTTTAACAATCCCAACTATTCCATTCATACCTGTTGCATGTGATATGCAACAAAATACCTCTCATTATGTTTAGCGGTGCAGGACAAGGTAAGGTTTCATTATAATTCCTGCTTTCAAAGACATTCACAAATTATGCCCTAGTAACCTGGAAATATACTATAGCTATATCTTCTTTCAAACCATTGCTGACTATAAATCTATACACACTTACAGCTTGAAATTGTTTACCCTGTGTGGCTTTATCAAAATTGATGGAAATTCAAAATGTGTATTTTCTCTTTTTACAACTTACAGAACAAAAGCAAGTTCAGTTGTTAGGTGTGATTCTGTTGCCTATTGTTTGCTTGATTTGCAATAATGGGCTAGTTCTAACAAAGGCACTAAATAGAAAGTAGTGTTTTATGTCACCATCTTGACTGTCCTTTGCTGTGGGTTCTCCAAGGTGGCAGTCTTAGCCCTTCACATTTCACCTTGTCAGGTCATTCATGTATAAAAGGCAGAATACTTGCAACAATCACAGCACATTTACAGTATTATAACAATTCATGAGAAAGAGAAGGAGAATTCCGACACATATTCATGTACAACTTCATTTATACCTGTTTTGAAATTATTTGCATTCAGCTTGAAGTTGTGTGACCAAGTGGATAAAGCATGAGTTCTTTGGACTGTAAAAAACCATATCTGGTGTCCCACATGTCTATGATAATGGTGGGAGAATGTTTGCCCTCCCTCGTAAAGCTAAGGTGCAGAGTGTGGTTGCCTTGTGGTTTAAACATTTACTCACAGGCTGAAGACCCAAGTTTCAAAACACACAGGGTAATAAAAGATTTATAGACTTAATGTTAACTGATAAAAAACACCCCTCACGCAAATGGAATTTTGTCACCTCATTAAAACAAACCAAAAAGTTTTCTGATTTGTACGTTAATTAGCTTGCGCTGATTAAAAACGTTACGACGAATGCCGTAAACTGTATAAATAGGTTGCAGACGAAGAAGATGACTTTATTGTACAGAAACACGGGGCATATACAAAGCATAAACATGACTTGCTATAAAGGAAGCAAAATGGTGTTTGCAGGAATAATAAACTTTTAATATATACACTAACCAAAATGTTGCTGTTTTAAAGTCGTTGATAGGAGATGCAGATTTCTTATCATCTTTTAAATGAACAAGGAGATAATTTTTAAAAATGACTCCATAAATTTGGTGAACCTTATTTTAGGTTCATTTCATTTAGGTGCATGTGTGTCACCCACTTTAACTGATATGCTATCTGGTTTTAATATTTTTATTGTTTCTTTTTCATTATCAAACAGAAATAACGAGAACAAGAAGTCATCCTAACATACTTTTACTACCTCTAGATGCTTAAAAAAAGCAAATATCTTGGTGTATATATAATTTGCTCTACATCCATACAGATGTTTGCCGTCAATGAAATTGTGATTAAAAATAGTTGCTCAGCTCTGAAGGTAAAGTAGAAAATATTATTCCACCATAAACACCCTACTTCAGAATCCACGGAAATTACTTTTAGGAGCTTGAAAAATTCTTAACAGAGTCTTGGCAAGTTTTGCTGTGTAGTGTGAATTAACACTAAGGCAAAATATAGCCTGCTAGCCTTTTGTTGTCATTGACACTTTACAAAGGAATGTTAGCATTCCCTTTGAGCGATCCTGTAGGACAAATAGGTCTTGGGACAATACAACATGAGAACAATACAAAACCTATCATTTATTTTGCCAACAACTGAAGTTGGCAAGCCAGGACATTCTGGACAGTGTCCAGGGAGCTGGTGTCCAGTGCGGGTCACTAGACATGTCATTCAAGGTCTCGTCTGATGACATATAGCTGTGATTAATATAATATATGAATAGGGAGTCCCAGACTTCTGACAGAGGCTTGTACGGATCTTTTGAAATATGACAATGTGATAGTGTCCGTGATTGGCTGATTTAGTACGGTCATTGTCATTGGGGGAAAGAGCACCCAGGTAGCCATTGTGGTGGTGTTTTTTTCAATTCATGACAAGCTCTGCTGTGAGTGAGTACTATATTTTGCTGCTATGAATGTTCATGCCTTTATGATAACTTCTTAAAATCAACGATAATTATAGGTGATTTATTTTTCACCATGTCTGAAATCACTGGTGTATATGTTTTTCAAAATTATGCCTGATTATCTTTATAATATTTCTATAATGATTATTTTTATTGAAGATTTGTGTTTGAACTTTTCAGGGTTTCAGGTTCTTTTCCACAGATACTAACTTAAAGGTGTTTCAAGTGAGCAGCTGATATAGAAAATGATTAAACTCTCTGAATGCCATTAGTATAATCACTGCCTTTGAAACCATTGTTGACAGTTTTGCAAAAATAAAGTATTTTGTCCTCAGTATCAAGAGAGCTAAATATAATGTTTCTCAAGGAAGTTAACATGTAAAACGTTTCATTCTGAAGACTAGGTGGACTTGATGTATTTCAATTTGCTCCATTTCGTTTGAGTAAAGTAGAACATTTTGAGATGGTACAGTGGAGTTTTTGTAGAAATAGCTTAAAAGTATGACGACTTCGGAATACCTTACATTTATTTCATCTCAGCCATTAACTCCTGTTTTGACTATAGTCACAAAATATAATAGTTTTCAACAGACGTCCTCTTCACTTCTAGCTTATCTCATAGTTGTGAGGTAAACCCTATCCTACAGGGACTGGACTGACTGTCCGGGTCTGTTCACAAGTCCAAGTGATAAAGGTTTGGGGCACATTTGATATTCACAAACACCTGGTGTTATCACTGATTTTCAGACCAACGGGATCAGGTGGCTAGGCTTCCTGACTTGGTTGCCAAATGTCATCTTATCCCAAATGCATGGTTCGCTGTGCAGTATGTCAATCACTGGACAGTCTGGTCCAGACTTGATTATTTGCAGACCGCTGTCATATAGCTGAACTGTTACTGATTGGGGTGTTAAGCCACAAAAAAAGCAAATTGAATTTTCACTGATCCCTTTATGTGGTTTTCACCACAATTTTGCCTTTCGCACCAAATGGAATTTCCTTGGATAATATTCAATTTTTGTCTTGCATTGATGTTTTATATTGATAAACATTCAAAACAAATACTGGACAGATCCATACATTAAGTACAGTATATTCATTGACCTGGAATATTTACTTTCACGAAAAAGAAATGCTCCTTCAACAAGATAAGAATCCGATTCAGAATTTTGTTTGTGTTGAGAAGCCTGTGTCTAAAACTTTCATCATGTTATTCATCCGAGGATGATGATGGGATTAACACATTCTTTCACAGGGT